AACTGAAGACTTCTTAAAGAGTTTTTTGGACCCAGATAATAAAAAAATTACAGTAATCCAGTCTGGATGTGATAAATGCATGAATCAGTTTTTCTGCATCATTTTTGGACAAAATATTTCTAATTTTAGTGATATTACACAGGTGGAAGAAGGCAGTCCTGGTCATGTCTTCTAACTGAACTGAACTGAACTGTTCTTTAAAAGTTTTCTTAGAGTCAAACTTTGACCTAACTTTTCATAAGATCTGTCTTTGACAGGAGAAGTCAAGCTGACACTAATGTCCGTTTAATTGTTTATGTKTACTTATAAAGAAATAAAAGGAAAGGAATCCTTTCATTTTGTAACATGTTTTTTTTTCCTTTGTAAAGGTTTTATTCAAGTGTCGTATTGATCACACTTGTTGAACCTGAAATTTGATATGAATTGTCATTTTAATCACATTTAGGATGTTACCTGAGCACCAGCTGTGCTTGGAAATCAAAAATGTTTTCCCCCAAAGAAATATTTTGCGTCTGTGACCCTTAGAAGTAAATCTTTTTTTATATTGGCTGATCATAACACCTGCTGTGAGTTCAGATTTCCTCCTGAAACTGAGATCTTCAGATCTGTGTGCTAACTATGTGAGAAATGTAGTTTACTTAACTTTAATCTGCAGAATCTAAGCCTTTACTTAAACATTGACTTTTACCTTAAACAGACTGAACATCGTGTCTACTTTATTTTTACTTTTTAAACTACTTTCTAAGCTTTTATTACCTTTGTTGTTTTGTTTTTATTCATTATTCAATGAAGTTTGATTTTTTTAAATTTTTAATAAATCTCCAAAAGACAAAGGTGTTTTTTTTTTCATCATTGAGGATTCCCTGAATCTTATCATCTCACACTTTGATGTAAAGGAGTCTGATTAAAGGGTGAATGAATGACTGATCAGTAAACACTGATCTGGTGCTCCCTGCAGGTAAAATAGTGCAACACAGTGCAGAAATAATATCACCCAAATGGTTCTCCCCTTGTTACACTACACCTCTGTGTTTCTGTGTTCATCAGGACTTCACAACCAGAGTTTTTACAAAGAAATTTACTCACGCCATAATTATCAGCAGTCCTTCATCTACTGTACAAACCCACTCAATAATGCAAACAATGCATCTTCTGCCAAAATACCAATTATGTCTTGTTCATGAACCAAGATAATATAAAAATAATGATAAAAATGACTGCTTTCTTCATTAAACAACTAGCATTCCTTAAAGGAATGGACATCACTCACCACTTTTGATCCCAGTCTTTTATATGAAGATCATCTTATGTTCAGAAAAACAAAGTTAAAGATGTTTTGGTCAAACTATAAAAATACATTATGTAACAAATTCATTTTGCATGATTTGTTCGTGCTATGTGTATGTATTAGGAATGACTGTCAGCCATAGCTATGCTCGATTTAAGCTCAAAATCTGTAAAACTAGCCGAGGTATAGCATTTTTCTGCAGCATACTGATTAGTTAGAAGCCAAAGCGAAGAGAGTTGACTCCAAAAGCTGTAGAACCTCACTTCTAAAGGTTTGGAACTATCCCTTTTACACTAAATCTGTGTTTTTTTTTTATTATTTTTATTGTTGCTTTTTGGGGTGGGTTTAATCAATTCATGTAAAATCACTTTGACTGAAAATGAACTTTAGTCATGACTCAGTATTTCTTGTTGTTCACAAGCTTCTCTTTGTGCAGTGCTGACACAATAAAGCACATCAACTACAAAAATATAATAAGCTTTTTTTTTTCATATACGTTATTCACACGAACGACAGCCCATAAAACAYGCAGACACAATTTGTGTCTGACTGAATTATGAGATGCAAAATGAAATATGACACACTTTGTTCTGAGAAGCAATTCCTACCGTCTTTTTCTCCCCCCCAATCTAAAGTCATTTATTTATACTGAAATGATAAATATAGCAGCTCAAAAGTGCCAATAATGAACAGGAGAGTGCATAGCTCATACAGACAAAACAAATAGAAACCTGCTTTGCAGGGTGATTAATAGTGACAACCCCCCCACCCCACCCTCCCCCTGCTTGTCAGAACCAGGAAGCATTTTGCTCAATCACTATGGAAAATAAGGGCTCTTTCTTTGATTCGACAATATTGTCCCTAATGTATTTATTGTGAAAGCAGTAAAAAAATGGAAACAAACAAGGTTATTTTTTTTTATTGCACATCATCCAGGAAGAGGCTGTCATTATTGATAGAATTGTTGGGGAAAAAAGGGTCATGTGGTTATGTCCATATATGGTCATGTCTCTCAGAGATGATGTCACCAGTGACTGACTAATGACTGTGTGGCTAAAGGGGCTTTTTTTCATTTTCAGGCAAGAAATAGTAGTGGGTGTGTGCTCCTCTGGGCTGTAGAGATAGTTCAGGGCCTGTAGATAAAGTGTGTGAGAGAGAGAGGGAGAGAGAGAGAGAGAGGGAGAGAGAGAGAGGGAGAGACAAAGAGAGGGCAGGGTGTTGTGAATGAACACAGTTGTGCAATTACCTTGCATCAGGAAGAGTCTTTAAAGGGGAACCTGACTAAAGTTCTGTTCCTGCAGAATGAGGCAGCTTGGAACGGTCATGTTTGTTGCTGTTTTAGAGGACTGACTTWAAAGTAAAAAACAGCAGGAGCAGGTTGAAAGTGGAAGCGAGACAGAAAACAGGCTGGACCACAGAACTTAAAAAGGACTCAGGTTGTCAACAGCATGGGGAAATCAGGTGAGTGGAGGCCAGAAACTGTTGGCTCATCTGGACATTGGTTTTTGTCTGATTTCAGCTTCCACTGGTAGAGCTGTGGCTTCTGTCTTGTTCGTTTCCAGATGTGACATGTTTGTTGGGTTTTCTGTCTGATTCTTGCAACGTAACTAAACACTGTCAGCATCTGCACTGCACTCCAGTTCTGTTTGAATGTGCCCGTTGTGTGAGACTGTTGGACTTGTGACAAGGCCTGTGAGTGACAGGCACCAGGCGGTGGGAGTGGGGGGGGGTCTCTATGATGCTCTCTGACTCACAGTCTGAGGTCAGACGGTCTTTCCATTCAGCTCTGAGGTCATGCATGAGTGTCTCCGTCTTGTCAGTGTCCAACTCTGCAGAGTTGTAAAGTAACTAAGTACAAATACTTCTTTACTGTACTTAAGTGGAATTTTTGGTTATATGTACTTTACTTGGGTAATTATTTTTTAGTGTACTTTTTACTTTTACTTATTACATTTTTACACAATTATCTGTACTTTCTACTCACTACATTTTTTAAAAAGGTAAGCAGAAAGTCGTTACTCCTATTTTATTCTGAGTTGTTACTTAAAAATACTATCCTGATAAATTGTGTCTCCTATAGAGTGAATTTAATTGTGTTTGGATGAGAAGTATAAATATATACCATTCTGACACTATTAGCTTGTACACAACCCATCACAGCTGCACGCTGTTAGAAAATATATTTTTTGGAGAAGTCACCTCCCAATAAATGTCATTTTGGAAAATCTAACTGCTCACTTTTACTCAGTACAGTGTTTCCCCTAGGAAATTGTTTTTTTGGCTACTTGTTTTATAACAACATAAATTTACGTGACTCACCTGTAATTATGGTAATAAATTTACACATACATGA